CTTTGCATCCACAAGCGGCTATATCTGCTCACTTTCTTTCCGACACCGTCCCGTCCAGCAGCAGAAACAAGTAGAGCATCACTAGCCTGGCCTAAACCTGCGTACTTCGCAATGAAGTCCGCACTAGAAGGCGCTGCGCCATGCTTGAAGTTTGCCGCGACGACCCATTGCACCGCCTCAAAGCCGGCCATGAATTTTCGTGCTTCTGCAACCAGACCCGTGCTATCTTCCAGTGAAGATATATCCTCCCACGGCAAGTCCACGAACCAGTCTTCAATGGGTGGTTCTGCAGGCAGCAGATTCGTGTCTACATCTCTCTTGCGCTTCCTTCGCGCACTCTTCGCATACAAGGCAGCCATGGCCAGATTGTACCCGGATAAGATGAAGATCAGAAGCACAACGTGCATGGCCCTTCTTGTGAGCCCCCAAAATTGCTGATCAGCTGCCTCTCGCTGCTGCCGCTTGCGACGGCAAGCGGCCTCTCTACGCACGGCTGCAACATCCATGGCTTCGCCAACAGTCGCATTAAAAGCGAATTAGAACCCATACCTCAATTTTCATGTCAGGTTTTAACATCTGTTCCTCTGCACTGACCAACTTCTGGACCAGCACGCCTGCAGCAAGCTTCGCCGTCAACAGCACTGCAAGGAGCACATTCAGCGCAAACCCTACAAACGATCGTGGCAATGGATCACGACAGAGGCAACGGCACTTTGCGACGCGTCTGTCGAAAGCAGTCTCCTACAGAAGGGGAACCACCATGTGTCCCCCAAAGTCTTGGTAAACGGGATGTTTTGCGACTCCAAAAACCAGATCCGGACCTTGGACACGCAACATCCATTCGGAAGCAACCAAGCCTGACCTTGTAAACCAGCGAAACCAGGCAGAAACTGGAAGAACAACAACTCCAGCACTGGTCTCTGCCAGCCACCAGCCTCCCAACTCGGCTTCAAACATGCTAGAGCTGGCAGAATTTCTGAGCACACAATATGCGTGACCGCTTTCTGGTCGCGGAAACTTGGCCGCAGAAGACCAGCTGCTAAAGTATGCTTCCCAAGAGGAAACAAACCATCAAGAGCATTAAAAACAGGAGGGAAGGCGAGCCTCCTGCATTCGGAAGTAAGACAAGGGAACGTGTTCCAAGGCATCGGAGGTGAGACAAGGGAACATGTCCCAAGGTGAAATGCGCAGCTTGAATAGTAGAAAGCTGCTTTACCCCTACAATCCTGGAGCAACATTTCTTAAGTGGAATCGTGCAGTGAACAACAGCACTACCTATCCTCGGCCCCCCGGAGGGAGTGGGAAAAAACCATTAACACAGCACTACGCCCAACACCATGACATCTCCAAGAATGGTTGCGAAAGCACTGCAGCGGAATCTGCTGATTCCGATTTGGGCTTGGCTCTGCTGCACATTCTTCGACTGATCAGAGATGTGATGATGCGACTGTAGGGGCTCAGGCTGGCACCCAGTCACGATGAATTACAAACAGACCTAGAGCGGCGCTCGGAAGCTTGGATCTCCTGCACGGATAAACCATGTACACAGCACTACACCCAAGACCACGACTCGTCTCCAAGAGTGGTTGCAAAAAAACACTGCACGGAAATCTGGTGATTCCGATTTAGGCTTGGCTCTGCTGCACATTCTTCGACTGATCAGAGATGTGATGATGCGACTGTAGAGGCTCAGGCACCCGGACACGATGAATTACAAACAGACCCAAAGCGGCGCTCGGACCCTTACATCTGCTGCATGGAAATTCCGATTTGGGCTTGGCTCTGCTGCACATCTCCGACTAGACCACCCAGCTCAGGCTGGCACCCGGTCACGATTCAGACAGACCTAGAGCGGCGCTCGGAAGCTTGGATCTGCTTGCACATAGATGATGAGGCACTGCACTGCAGCTATTGCAAGCATAAGCCCACAGGCTCACAAATCCTGCCCAACATTAAGAATTCGGAAAAGCAGGGGTGCAAAGGTGCACTCTTTCAGGAGTATAATGGAAGAATAATGAAGAATCTTCTTTTAATGCACTACAACCCTGCGCCTTTACACCCCCCTGTTTCTGTTTTCGGCAATGTAAAGAGAAAACAAGCCTTGCGCCTTTACACCCCCCCGTCGGTCGTTCCGGCAATCTAAAAAGCAAGGTACGGCTTGTCGGTCATCGCATGCGACATTTGTTTTGTCGGTGTTCGCACATGACATTCCACACGGTGTTTCGCTGCTCGCATATGACATGGATAAAACATGCATCGTCTCGCAGATACGCTTTGTTGCTTCTAGAAAACATGTATCGTCTTGCAGATACGTTTCTCGAGGAATTTCTTGCACTCAATACTTGAAAGAATGCATACATTTTCCGCCTCAATTTTTGCTTGCCTCAACTCTGCATGCATCGTCTTGCAGATACGCTTCCAGAAAACATGCATCGTCTTGTAGATACGCGTTGTTAGCGAATTTCTTGCGATCGTTCCCACAGAAGTGCATAGTTTTTCTGTCTGGTTTTTGCGGTTTGCTGTAAACCTCAAATATTGCATCGTCTTGCAGATACGCTTCCAGCAAGCATGCATCGTCTTGCAGATACGTTTTTCGAGGAATTTGCACTCAAGACTAGAAGCATGCATACATTTTCGGTTTGCATGTCCTTTGTCTCAACTCCGAAAACATTTTTGCGGTTTGCTTTAAACCTCAAATATTGCATCGTCTTGCAGATACGTTTCCAGCAGCATGCATCGTCTTGCAGATACGTTTTTCGAGGAATTTGCACTCAAGACTAGAACATGCATCGTCTTGCAGATACGCTTTGTCGGCGAATTTCTTGCAATCTGCCTCAGAAGTGCATACATTTTCTGTCTGACTTTTTCGGTTTGCTCGAAGCCCGAAAATATTGCCTCGTCTTGCAAATACGTTTCCGGCAAGCATGCATCGTCTTCTAGATACGTTTTTTCGGTGAACTTTTGCATACATGTTCCGCCTGATTTTTTGTTTGCTCCCAAATCATGCATCGTTTTGCAGATACGCTGCCGCAAAATATGCATCGTCTTGTAGATACGCGTTCTCTGTGAACTTTTCGCTTTCAAGACTACAGGGGTGCGTTCATTTTCCGTCGGAATTTTTAGTTTGCCTCAATGCCGAAATCTTGCAGGCACGCTTCTGGAAACATACATCGTCTTGCAGATACGCTTTCAGCAAGCATGCATCGTCTTGCAGATACGCTTTGTCGCTGCTTTTCTTGCAATCAAGACTTAGAGGAGTGCATGCATTTCCGTCTGATTTCTTGGTTTGGCTCAAATTCCAAAACCTGCATCGTCTTGCAAATACGGTCACACGAACCCCCCATCCACTATACTCAATCACTGACGGAGAACGACAACAAAACATAAATCTGCTGGCTATTACGACCGAGATCTGCACAAGAGGCTGTTTCGCTCACGGCTTGCACCCCACTGGATCACATGCAAAGCTTCTGCACTTCAGCTTTCTAACTTCTCAAACGGAGTTTGCGCTACAGCCACCAAGATCTGAGCGAGAGGCCGTTTCGCTCAGGTTCGTTGACATGCCCTGGCGGGGAGAAGCTACCAAAGCAACGCTTACAAATGCGGAACATCACTTTCTCACGGACATCACATGGAGCCCTCTGCACTTCAGCGCGTCAAGTTGTCAAACGAAGCTTGCTACTACCACCGAGGATCTACGCGAGAGGCTGTTTCACTCAGGCGCGTGCCAGAAGCTGGTCTTCCATCATGGCCCTCCGAGCGGAGCAAGGCTTACAAATGCGGAGCATCACTCTCTCTAACATAGCACATGGAGCTCTCTGCACTTCAGCCTTTACAGTTCTCAAACGAAGCTTGCTACTACCACTGAGGATCTGCGCAAGAGGCTGTTTCGCTTAGGCTCGCGCCAGAAGCTGCTCTTCCATCATCCCTCCGAGCGAAGCAGGCTTACACATGCGGAACATCACTCTCTCTAACATAGCACATGGAGCCCTTCTACTTCAGCCTTTCAAATTCTCAATCGAAACTTGCTACTACCACCGAGGATCTGCGCGAGAGGCTGCTCAAACAAGCTTGCTACATCTTGCTACTACCACCACAAATCTGCTCAAGAGGCTGTTTCGCTTAGGCGCACGCCAGAAGCTGCTCTTCCATCATCCCTCCGAGCGAAGCAGGCTTACACATGCGGAACATCACTCTCTCTGACATAGCACATGGAGCCCCTTCTACTTCAGCCTTTCAAGTTCTCAAACGAAGCTTGCTACTACCACCGAGGATCTGCGCGAGAGGCTGCTCAAACAAGCTTGCTACATCTTGCTACTACCACCACAGATCTGCGCAAGAGGCTGTTTCACTTAGGCTCGCGCCAGCTGCTCTTCCATCATCCCTTCGAGCGAAGCAATGCTTACGGAACATCACTCTCTCTGACATAGCACATGGAGCCCTTCTACTTCAACCTTCAAAGTTCTCAAACGAAGCCTGCTACTACCACCAAAGATCCGCGCGAGGCCGTTTCGCTCAGGCTCGCACCCGAAGCTGCACTCCCATCATCGCCCTCTGAGCGAAGCAACGCTTGCACATGCGGAACATCACTCTCTCACGTAGGACACACTGTCACGGACTAAAGCGGAAAGCGGAACCCTTTTACACTTCAGCTTTCAAAGTGTTCTCAAACGAACCAGGCTACTACCACCCAGGTCTGCACCAAAGCACATGCAACTCTTCTGCACTTCAGCCTTCAAAGTGTTCTCAAACGAACCAGAACCAAGCTACCACCAAAGATCTGCACGACAGGCTGTTTCATTCAGGCTCGCGCCCGAAGTTGATGCTTGTTTCCACTTCCACGCCCTCCGAGCGAAGCAAGTTACATATGTGGAACCGTCTCTCACGTAAAAGCAAGCACATGGAACCCTTCTGCACTTTACAGCCTTCCAAGTTCTCAGACGGACCAAGCTACTACAGTCAAAGATCTGCACCAGATGCTTCGCTCAGGCTTGCTACCACTACCGATACGCAGCAAAGAATGTTTCGTTCAAGCAACTCCGGATACAACTTAGAAAAAAATTTCCGAAAAAAACGGTATTTTCCGCACTCTGCTTCAGCGGCGTAACTTCCAAGAGCTCACCATCTTTCCATGCATGCGTCACTGCATACGGACAATCTGGGTTCATCCGTGGCAACGGAGAAGCGGTAAGGAGGGGACTGCTTGCATTCACCTCTTGCTGCTCCAGCAAAGGAGTCTTTGGCTCCTCGGCGTGGGCCTCCAGCTGATGATGTCGGGGAGGAGTGCAGGGCTCCTCGCTCTTGCGCTCCTCCAGCTGATGATGTCGGGGAGGAATGCAAGGCTCCTCGCTCTTGCGCTTGTGGCCACGCTTCGAACTCGATGCAGAGGGCTCCTCAGTTGCTTGTTTCTCCAAAGTTGCCTCCACCATCCGGACTTCTGAATCGATGCCGGGGTTGTCCACCACATACTGCTCGTACCACCGGTTGATCCACCGGACATAGCAGCCTTTGCAAGAGTAGCAAAGCTTCAAGGCGGGATCTCGTTGGACTGAAGATAACGCATTCTTGAAACACCAACGCAGCCCGAATCTGTTTTGAAAGGCTTTCCGCTCTTCCTCGTCGGGATCTCCTCTGGGAGTCTTGGGCACGACTTTCGTCTGGGTGGTTATGATGAATGGAGGAGGATGGTGCACTAGCACAGGTGCGGAATTCTTGACCTTGGCTCAACTCAATGCAAAGCTGGGAATCAAAAGCGGCTTCTAACAACACATTGCTCCTGCTTACGACCCAAGGTCGAACAAGCCAAGATACCGCACAACTCACGGACTCACCTTCTAGGAGCAGCAGCAGAGTGTCATACGGCAGCGGCGTGGTGGAAAGCCGCCAATCTTGAAAAACAGATATCAACATCTTTTCAAGACCTTGTAGGACAAAGGTATCTCCTCGATTCGGGCGCAAGAACACGTGATTCTCAAAGATGTGGATCAAAGGTCGGGTCAATGCTGTCTTTCCGCTGTTGGATTCGCCCCACAGCAAAATATTGCTGTTTTTGGCTGTTGTGCCGATTCGCAACAGCTTCGTCAAGCAAAACGCCCATCTTCCTGGGCACTTGCCGTGGTGCTCGAGCAGCCTGTCCAAAGCATCTTGCAACCGGTTCGGACTCACGCAGCTGCACGGAGTTTGAGCTGCGCGATCCCACAACTCCAGTCTTTGCTTCCGGAGGCCCGCTGCGGTGGCAGGCTCACACAAGATTTGCATCCAAGACGCAAACAGGCCGGGCATCTTCTGCCCTTGCTTTGCCAAGAACTTCTCGTAGATGCCGTTACCGCGCCGGCGCTGCTCTAGAGCCCAATCGATAAGCTGCTGATAGCTCGTGAACTTCATCTGCCGCACGATGCTGTACATGTCAGACGGGCGCAGGCTGATGTTGAAGTACTTGCGCATGCGCTTCTCCATCATATCCACAGGAAAATGAGAAGAAAAGTATGGATTCGGATCCAATTGATCTTGACCTTTGCGGGTCGTCGGAGCAACCAAGTATCGCAGGCATCTGAAGAAATCCGCATGCAAGCGTGGCAACGCCAAGTGGCCAAATAGGCGCTTCTCACGCAACTGACGCGCAAGAGCTTTCCACTTGATTCGGCGAGTCAGCTTCAGCAGCGCGTGCCAATGATACGTGCGCTCCCAAGCACGCTCCGACTGGGCATGCTGCTCGCTGACGATCACATAAAACTCAATGTTGTCAGCGCCATACGCTTCTTTAAGCATCTTCGCCAGATGCTTCTTGGTGTGCGTTGTCGCCGTCACGGCGCCATCTTTCGTCGTATGCGGGAAAGTCCAGAAATGCACGGTGTTCCCCTGGTACCTGCCGAACAGGGACAGGAGCTGACAATATGTTCTAACAGCTTTAACGACGAGGTAAACTCCGGTTTCCCCGCAGCCTCGTCTTCTGTGTGGCACTTACCACATCTTGAAACATGTCCACTCGGCAGCTCTCATCCTCTGAATCGACGTTCTGGTCGCCTTCGAAGAGGTCGGCTTGCTCGCTTGCGACATCACTGGACTCATCACAAGAATCAGGCGGCGCCCCTGACGATGAATCGCTGTCACTGCTGCTGCTACTGCTGCTAGTGCTGCCACTTGATGACACCGACGCCTCGGCCATTGCCAGACATCTCTGCCAAGTCTACAAGCTTGCAGCACCGCGTCTGCGCTGATCCTTGCGCCCAAAAGCCTTTGGACATTATGTTTGCCACCCTCAATTGCCAGCANNCAGCAGCAGCAGGACCTTACAGCTCTTCAGCACCGTGCTGCAACAAACCCCCCCTCGCCCCCTCAAACAAAGATGATGCGCAATGGAACAGCCACACCAACATGGACGACACGAGCCTGCGGCAAAGTCCTAAACCGCCTAAACTCCAAGCTCGTTACTCGGATTTGCATGACCGCTGAATATCCACCTTCAGCAACTACCTTCATCATTGTTTTGTGGGGGGAAGGGGAGTGCCGTCACTCCGACAAGATGACTTACAAAAAGGCCTCCAAATCCGGCTCTTCTCGCCACGGCTGTCCTGGCGAAAGGAAAGGGTGGCACGGCCACTCTAAGATTTTCTCAGTTTCGACTGCATCAGTGCTGTGTACCCCACCGCGCAAACTCGCAGCATTGTTTCAGGGGGTGAGGGGGAGTCTAGCGCTGAAGATGGAACTGCATCATACTGTTGCATCGCAGGTGTTTGCTTGTGAACCTGCTTTCATGCCAATGGCGTAGCTTTTCACAGACGTTCTAGTTAGGCTTGCACTGCTCTAGCACTCAGCTCGCAGTCCTTTTAACCGTGTTGGATCTGTTAAGCCAGCGCAAGAGCTAGTGCTGCATGGCGCAACAGAATCACCAGCCTTCTAAAACATACATGAAAGCAAACATGTAACATCCCGTCTCGTCTGCAGCTGCGTGCTTTCACATGGATGTGAAATTTGGCCTGCTGTTGCATGCATCGTTTTGCGCAGACGGTTTGTGGTCTTGTCAAAACTTTTTTGCTACGGGCACCAGGTCTGCACCAGAGGCTGCTTCGCTCAGGTTCTCTAGGTTGGACAACTGCAGCTCAGTGCAAAAGAGAAAGCGGAGCAAGCTCTTCTCTTTTTTACCGCAGAGGTTGCATGTCAGCGATGCAGCGATGCTTTGCAAGGCAGAGCTAAGTAGAGGAAGCGAGGCAAGCGATGCCAAGCAAACAGCGCCCCCGGGCGGGTGGGCGGGTGAAAAACTTCTTTTGTCGGCGCTGCGAGCGCACAGTTCGACTGTGTTTGAGCCACCGCGCAGCGCGGAGCAACATTGAAGTAGCAACGACGAAAACACAGTCGACCAAAAGAACAAAAAAAAGATTCTATAGCGTTTTTACGGTTTAGAAAGCTTCCACAGACGGCTTGGCATCTCGGAGCTGGGCCCCAAGCATCACAAGAATGGGAGCGAAAAGCAACCTTTGCACTGCTGGGCCGAGAATATATCCAGTCCGGGCCATTAGAAACAGGAATATGGATTCTCTGTCTCCGCGTCTGTGTTTTCGTATATCTAAGAACAGCAGTGAACGCCCTGCACAGCACGACTGTCACCAGATGAGTCTAGGGACGGTTACAACCACTCTGCACAGCACTGCAGTCACCAACTACAGAGCTGGGCCCCAAGCATCACAGGAATGGGAGCGAAAAGCGGCCTTGCGCTGCTGGGCCGAGCGCTTAGGGAGAAGAATATATCCAGTCCGGGCCATTAG